CCCCCCCCCCCCCCCCAATTTTCAAGGTTCCATAATATTATGTCTTCTTTTTTTTGTTGTTTTCCGTGAGTGATGATTTATCTCAATTTAAAAAATTCTCCCTTTTAAAAAATTTCAATTATCAAATCATAAATATAATTTAAAAATTAAAATTAAAGCATTTACCCTCTTTAGTGCCATATGTTTTTTCTTTACATATACTTATAAAGGTCATACACTAAAATGTGACTTGAAAGGAGCACTTTTTTGGAGATCCAATATCTCACAAAGGTGGAAGCGTCAAGCACACAAACTGTTTGTTGATTTTCCTCATCCACAAGAACTCTTACATTTACCAAGAAGTTGGCATTGACACTTATGAGCAACACTTTGAAAGAACAAGGCTATTGCTATAGCATATAGAGAAGCATTCTTTGCACATCATGACCCTCTTGATGCTAAAGCTTTTGGTGCTCATGTAACTAAAAACCTTCAACCAATGCAACCTGTATCTCAACCATCAAAAGTGTAAGCGGGAGGTAACAATTATCTCCTTAATGTTATCTCTTACACACACACATAATAGAGTATATCAATTGTGGGGCTGCCATGTGTCAAGCTACATAGGGTGTTTTTGTACTTATTTGGAAATGATTTGTTGATTCACATTGAATTTGTTAATTGGACTTTTGAGTACTCATGCATTTTTTTTCACTCTGTCAGCTCTAGCCTAAGGTTGTTCGTCTAACAAAAGCTATTTAGTAGATACTTCACCAGGGCACGAGGGGTATTCTTTAGCGGGAGGAAGAGATAGATCTTCAGATTGATCTTCATCTCTTTTCCCTAGGATGTCAATATGGATCTTCAAAGCTTGGGTATGATTCTCCGAGTTGCTCCTAGTAACAAACCTGTTGAACTTAAAGCTGCCAATGAAAGCCTCAATCAGATAGCTATTGAATTTATTGAAGCTTATTGCTTGGTGTTTTGATTGATGTTACTTTTGAAGCACCTTCTTTCTCGGAGCTTTTTTGTGATTAATGTCCCTGATATCGTGATAAGCACTGGGGATTTATCAATTAGGTTTACTGTATGATTTAGTAATTGCAGTTAAAGTGCCGTGAGGTTGTTTAGGATGGCAAATAAAAAGATCAGTGACATCATTTTATTTTCAGGCTTCATTGTTATGAAATAAAATAATTTATGGTGCAACACTCAGCATTTGAATGCCATATTTCCCTCACTCTTGCCAATATTATGTTATATAAGCATGCCATATGAATCATAGTCATTGTATTGATAATAAGTGTTGTGAAATGAGAACATTCCTTGGCTAAATAGTATGTTGATGGGGGAACACTCTTACCTATGCCCTGAAGTACAATGTGAGCACATTTGGTGTATTAATACATACACATGGTGTTTTCCTATAATATAAAACAATGCTCTTACTAATAGACTTCCACTTTGTGTTGTTCTTCCACGTATGTATCCTTGATTATCATGCAACTGCCACCATTTGTTTCACTTCAATTACTCCATATTAATTTAGATACATCTCCTAATATTTTTGTGGACTCTACTTGAAGTTTTTAGTACAACGGTAGTTTTTAGTGGCCATTCATTCCCATTGCTAATTTTGCCAGATTATTTCACCTCCAGATTCATTCAACTCCTCTGTAGATCTCTTTTATTTTGCCATCATGTTTCACACCCCATACATTTCATCTGTTCTTCTATATTTATTAATTTTTAATTTAACTACATTCTTCTCATTCTATATATGGGGTCATTAGCTAGCAGTGGACGTTGTAGGAGTATACACCGTACTCCGTTGTTAATCATAAGTCTAAGTATGGCATCTCCTCTATGTTCACTTTGATCACCTGGGACACATATTAATGACTGGATTATTATCTTTCAGTAAATAACGAAGTGCTAACCATCTACTAGCTAAATAAAAATTCCAAGATTACATGCCAAAACATGTTATTTGAAGACAAGAGACACATTTTTATCCAAATGTTTCATTGTAAAAACACATAGGACATTACTAAATGGTAACTACTTTACGTGTTCAAGTATAGGCTTGACATTGATGTTAAGGATGATACAGAGTGTATAAGGTTCACTACTTTTTATGATGAAGTTGAGCAGACACTAATCCTATTTAATATTGACATGAATATTTGTTACAAGTTAACCCTTTTTGTGAATGAAATTGATTGCGTATCTTTCAAAATTGAAGTTCTAAATATGGATCATTGAATACTTTACAAAATGGTTTTTTCTTATAAAAAAAGAATACTCATTTGATTTGGTTGTAATTAGGTATGTTTTTTTATTTATTTATTTTTCATATTTGAATCCAAAATCCAATATTTCTCCAATAAAAGACATGCACCATACATTCAAAAAAGATTACCTCTACACAAAGTACACATTATTCCTTGAACTATTCTCCTACTTCTTCCACCAAATATAAATTTACAAACTTGCAAACCACACCTGCACATAACCCAAGCCCGTGCGAAGCACGGGGTAAAAAACTAGTATATTAATATTCTTAAGCTTACTTATTGTACATAGATTACAATGTAAATAATGTTGTTGATTTAATGAGCACCATTTTTGTGTGTAGGTATGGAAACTACAAAAACAAAAAGTATACAACTTCTCTTAGTTTTAGCATATTTAAAAGAGGAAGATGAATTCTGTGATATGATCTCTTGTATACCGGGTTACATGAGTTGGGTTTATGCGAATCATATATCTAGAGAATGATGTATGACTTCTTGTTTTACAGGTGAACGATGGGTAAATGAGTTATTGAGCAGTCATGAAAAACGATGTTTTGAAGCATTGAGAATGAACCAAGTTGCATTTCTTGAGTTATTTCAATAACTAGTGGTGAAGTATGGCTTAAAGTCAGCAAAGAGAATAACCATTTTGGAGAAAGTTGGTTTGTTTGTATTTGTATTGTGCACGGGTGCTTCTAATAGAGATACACAAGAACATTTCCAACATTCTCGGAAAACTCTTAGTAGAATTTTCAAAGAATTTTTGAAAGCAATGGATGGATTTTCAAGGGATCTAATACACATAAAGACCCCGAGCTCAAGAGTATTTCACCACAAATTGTCAATGATAACAGATATATGCCATATTTCAAGGTATAATCATGTTATCTTATAAACGTGACTATTTAAACTACTAACAATATCAATCTTATACATTTATTAGGATTGTATTGGAGCTATTGATGGTATTCACATTGCAACAACGATTCCTGAAGATGTGCAATTACGTTATAGGGGAAGGAAGGGAATACCGACTATATATGTATTAGCGGTGTTTGACTTTGATATGTTATTCACATACGGTTTAAGCGGTTGGGAGGGATTGGCACATGACTCTAATCATAATTAGTTAATTACGGTACAAATAGAAGAAAAGTAAATAATAACACTACATATGTTTTAAATTAAGTAACATGTTTACTATTTAGTAGTAATTCATGTGCCCGATATTAAGGTAATAGGGTTTGTAAACACTATCCAAAGAGTTAAACTATATACTCCCTCCGTCCCACAAAACTCTTCTATCACATCATACTTGTTCTCTATCAATCTACTCATCTCATCTTATTTTATTCATCACATCAAAAAACATTTTTGGAAAAGTCAACACCAGAATACATTCTCCTTAAATTCTTTAAATGTCAAAATGGAAAGTTTTTTGTGGGACGGAGGGACTGCTTATTCTTTTCTAACATACTTTGTTCAAAATTAATTTATTAATTTTGATTTCACATATACTTAAAAAATTGTTAAAAAATGAAAGAGAAAAATTTTGTAGGAGGGAGATAACATACTCGTCGACCTTTTGATTTTAATTTTATAAATTTCATTTTTTAAACTTACATTCAAATTTATATGATCACAGAGTGTCTAGTATTCTTCCGTCCCAAATTAAATTGCATGTTTACTATTCACATGATCAAACTCTATTCACTTTCTTTCTCTTTTTTTAGTAGTCATTTGATAAAATAAAATTATCATGTCACCACTAGTTTTGTATATATCTTTTTATGTAGTATTTTAATGTGTAATTTTTATTTTTTAATTCTACACTACTTTTAAAATTTAAATAATTTGAAAATAATTTCTGTCAAGTATCGTAAACCGGAATAGGAAATAAAAATTGGGACGGAGGGAGTAAATTTTAAAAAGGTTTTATTAAAATAAAGTACACCCTCTATCATATAAAAAGGTTATGCATTTTCTTGTTTTTCTCTTCCAAAACAGAAGTTTAATTTCACTTTCCACTATTGAAAAAGTTTGTTTCCTATAATTTTTCCACACGCCATTTGAAATCACATAATTTTGTTTTTCTTAATTTCACACCAAATCAAATATAAAAGGAGTGTGGTGATGATAATTGTTGGTTTATTAATAATATGTAGTTTTTTAACTCATAAGCTGCTTATAAGCTAAATACAGAACATTTATTTATAGAAGTAAAATGACTTAAATGGTAGAAAAGTCATTTGGGAATTTTTTAAATGGTGAGGATAATTTTGCAAATAACCTGGTCATAGAGAAACGAAAAAATTAGTTAAAAAAATAAGTAGGTAAAACGAAAAAAGACTAAAGTAGAAGTAAAACATTAAAAATATATCAAAATAAAAGTTCCATTTTTTTATTTACGAAATAGGAGTTAAAATACATTTACATTACTAATCATGGAGATGTACATTACGAAAAGAATAGTAAAATGTACATGTACAGTGTCACATTACCACAGTGCAAACACTTATTTAAGAAATAAAAACATGAAACTA